TTTCCTCAGAGAAAGAGCAGACACAGCCAACACAAATAATCAATGGGTTATTGGTCACATCAGTTGTCCCTCCTCTTGGACTCGGTTGAACGCAACAGGATGAGGCACGAACATTTGAGGAAAAGTTTACTCCTAAAGGAATTCTGTCATTGCACCCATGCAGAATTCATGTCCCATGCAGATTGCTTTGCTTCCATGCAGAAAAGTGACTTTTTGATCTGGAAGCAGCAAGAGCAGTCAAGCATCCCTCCTCAGCAGTACAGGTGCATTATTTTTGGATACTTGGAACAGCCAGTGGAGAGGTAAATCACTGCCGAGGGGTGTGGTAGTGGGAGCTGGGGACACTCCAGACGGTGACTTCTACTCTGCCCTGAGCTCTGCTGCTAATCCTGGCTGGATTAGGGGAGGATGGGACTTCCTCTTCCTCTCCAAAGAGTGGCTGAGATTGCAGGAAGCTCTGCAGTCTCCCCGCCACTTCCTACACCATTGTTGCTCAGCTAGGGGACAGGGGAGGCAAGGGAGCTGCTCCTTCCTCCCTCCATGCATCTGGATCATCCCTTCTCTCCAATATATAGACCTCTCTCACTGGTCCTCCCTCTCCCCACTGAGCTCCTCTTACTGAGCACTTCACACTCAGAGCCCCATTGCACTCAGACCCCGCCCCAACCCCTCACTGAATTTCACCCTGCAATCACACAGCTACTTGCTAAGCCTCCTACACATGAACCCCCACATACATGGACCACTCAAACAAACCTTCTACATCAGGACCCCAACCCCACTGAGCCCTAACCAGCTGTACCCAGACCCCTACTTCCCCAGAACTTCCTCAACCCCACTGAGCTACCTGCACCCAGTTTGCCACACACAGAATTCCCTCACACCACACCTGAAGTCCCCCGCACTAAGGCCCTCCACACATGGATCTTACAGGGCTGAGCACACCTGCTCACACCTGGGGCAGAGCCCTGGGTATTTCTTGGACAGTCCCAGCCCTTTCACTGTGTCAACGTCAGTGACAGCCTCTCTGCTGAGTCCTGTGGGGGTATAAGGGCGACAGCTTATGATCTTCCACTTCCACGTAGTCAGTGGCCTGTGCTCCCCATCACCATGCTGCAGCCACCCTATTTATTTATGCAGAATTTAAAAAATATTATATGCTGATTTTTTTAAAAAATGGGGTTTTTTTGGTGAAGAATTCCCTCAGGAGGGAAACTTCAACCTTCTCCATTCACTGTCACATGCTGAACAAAAGGACAGAATAGAGGGGTTTTATACTTACTGGACTAGAAACTTCATAGGGATCCAGCTGCTACTCTTCTGTCTCCCTGATGGTTCTTAAAAAGGTCTTTTATATTAGATCAATGTCCTCTTTCCTTTTATGACACTTCCCCCATATTCAGACCCAGTGTACCATCTAGGTAACATGATTGTAATTAGATCTTAGTTGGACTTCCCTAGAGACTGACCCAAAAGTTGCAGAAGGCAGGTAATTAATTACACACTCTTTGATAACACCAGTACTGGCTGCTGCTAAGTTAATGGCTCCTGTTTTCACATAATGAAAGTTCTTAGATCGAAGGTAGATGAACAATTGTCTCTCTTGCCTAATGTTTTTATGTTGCAAAGTGTTGCCTTGATCAAGCTAGAGGTATTAGGCTTATTCATTAATGGATTTATCTAAAAGGCTGATCTATTGCTAAAGAAAGACTTTTCTGATAGATCCCTTAAAACGAGGTATACAGAATTTATCGGAAAAGTCTTTCTCCGCTTTTCTCTAGGCTTTTCAATGGCATTTCACTGTTGACTCATGTCAAGGTTGTGATCCATCACAACACCCACATCCTTCTCATCAGTTCCTCTGCCAAGCCAGTTATCCCCTATTCTGAATTTGTGCATTTGGTTTTTCCTTCCTAAGAGCAGCACTTTACATTTGATTTGCTAAATTTCATTTTGTTATTTATACACAAGTTTTCTAATTCACCAAGATCTCTTTGAATTTTAGTTCTATCCTCAAGAGTATTTGCAGCCCCTCTCCCAGCTTTGTGTCATGTTGAAATGTGGTCAGCAGGCTCTCTATTTCTACATGTAGGTCATTAATAAAGATGTTAAGCAACACCAGACCCAACACAGATCCCTATGGAAATGCATGTGAGAGTCCCTTTCTTTCTGACATCATTACATTAAAAGTTATACTTTGTCTGCAGTTGTTTAACCAACTATGTATCCTCTTAATGCTAGTTCTACCGAACCTGCATTTCTTCAGCTTATGAGAATGTCATGAGGGACTGCTGAAAGCCTTGCTTAAGTCCAGGTATTTTAGGTCTACCACATTCTCCTTTATCATCAAACGAGTTGCCTTGTCTAAGGGATCTCAGAGGGGTAGCCACATTAGTCTGTATCTGCAAAAACAAGAAGTACTGGTGGCATCTTAAAGTGCAACAGATTTATTTGGGCATGAGCTTTTGTGAGCAAAACCCACTTTATCAGATACATGACCACAGGGCTTCTCAATATTCTTATCTAGACAGAAAATCAAGGTGCTTTGGTATGATTTGTTGTTGGGA